TAATGTGAGTTGGAACAGGGACCGGAGATGGGCTGTTGTGAAGACACTAATGAACCTCAGGTTTTCATGAAAGGCGGCGAATTTAACAAACTGAGGGCACTATCAGTTTCACAGCAAGAACTTTGCTTCATGGCGTTCGTTATTTCAACACACTTCAGAACCACTTAGTAACATGAATGTAGGTGAGTACTAAATGTTAGCTGTCTGGGAAGTTTATGAGTTTATGAGTTTATAAGTTTTCTATCGTGCAGTATACAAGGTTTTTAACATCACTGTGACTTAAAAGTAGCATACTGCAGAATCCACTACAAGATTAGCCACCTAGAGTGCCTTGCATTTCTGTAATTAACACGACAGCCATATCTTAACACATTCACTAATACAAATACAATCACATTCTTTAACAACACGAGTTATTTAATCATGTTTTACAAAAACGTAACAAACTTTGTGAACTCATGTCATTAAAACACATTTCCAATAAAACAGTCCATTATTGCATTATGATATAATTATCACAGAATATTTTCAACATAAATAAAAACAATAAGTCACATAAATAGGCCGATTGTATGTTTTCGAGTATTTTGGTTTCAGGAAAATATATAAAGCCATATTTACAAAGAGAAATACAACTCTGGCTACAATGAGAATTGTGAAATAGGGGCATCGAACCTAGGAGTTTTACAATTAGGATCTCGTTATGCTCCAGTCGAAGACTACCTGGTTTCTTGGTGTAACGTGGGGGGGGGGGAGATGCAGAGTGATGTCACATACATCCTAACGGCGTGTTACTGTAATCACACAGCTTCTAATCGCATACTGAATTAGAATTTTACAGACTTTCTTTTTTTGTAGTGAGCAGAATTTGTAAGACACTGGTATAGTGCTACAAGGATGATGTTGAAAATTCGATCTTAAAACTTTACCTGATTGCACAGAAATTTTCCTACGATGGCAGTACATGAATAAATATTATAAAGAAAAAAAACACGTAAATATTGAAAGCTAAATCAGTTCTAAAGATAAATTAATTCATGGCAGATGAAGGAATAAATATGCATTAAAATTAGATGCCTTAGTATATATATGAATAAAAGAGTAATTAATTTTATCAGAAGAACTAAGAAAATATGTTTACTGTTTGAAGGATAACTATTCTGAATTTAAAGACGTAAGGACAGTGCAATTTTTGAACGAATGGATTTATACCAAAACATCCGAGGGAATTCCACAAAGGGCAGAACTTCAAAGGAATTTATTGTTAAAATTTCTACATAACTTAGCAATTAAAATAACTGAGGTGAATGACGTCACATTTTCAAATTTATTTATCCGAATCTAAGTTCACAGAACTGAACGTTGTGCCCAAGTCCCTGATACGAGATTGTTATTTAGATAAGAAATATGGCATGCATTCCATTTTATACGGGTAAATAATACTATGAATAAAATTATTACATTCGTTAGATAAAGTATCTTTTTTTATTGAAATATGCTCTCAGTAAATTTAAATTCGTGCTTTTGAGTAAAATTTTATAAAATGTGTGGTCTATTTCTTGTACAAGCGTATGCATCTGACGAAATATCTGATCGTGAGAATGAACTGTGAAATGTATTTTATTATTTCGCCGGGTTTATATTAATTCGGATAGCATTCAATTTTCACTGGGAAATTAATACGTATTAACATCATCTGCACATATATTTACCACTAGAATGTACACACTTAACCGAATTCGAGTCGCGATCGAGAACTCGCATGTAACTCGAATTCCGATCAATCGAACGCAGGCTCTAATTAATGTTAACTCGGCTTTGTATAGGTGTTCGATCTGTGCATAACAGACCTGTGTCGGGTAAAACTCGGGTTCGATACTAATTTCTCGCCATTTTAACTAGTTTTAGGAATACGAACGATATTATCACTATGCATTAGTTAGATTGGGACACACTTCTAATTCTATGGCAAAAAGCGAGAGAAGAGTACAGAGTGGAAATATTGAAATACCATATAGGTATACTATTGACACATATACAAGGCTATATTATGGGTTCCTTATCTTAACTGCACGACCTAAATAACGGAAATAATAATAAAAAAAACAAATGGCGTGGCTCGCGCAGCTGGAGAGGCTACTCACCAAACTAACTCAATTATTTATTTTAATCCGTCTTATCACAATATTTTAAAATTTCTTATAATTAAGATAATAAAATATCATTGATGTTCCATATCGATTCTAACTCAAATTATAATGTCATTTATAACTCAGATATTAGTTGTGTTTTTGGTATACATATCGAAAGAAGTTTGTGGAAATATACATTATCATCGTTTGGTGAAATGAAAGAATTCAGTTGTAAGACTGCGGTACTTTTAAGCGTTCTCAATAATTAATTCTGTTTACGCACATTTGCAGTGTGGAGGGAAAATCGAAGCTCTAAATGTGAGACTTTACCGAAATTCACTTAGAAGTAGGATTAGGTAATATTTTGTAAATTATTTTAATTGAACGGGACTTGATTACAATTAATAACTTTCGGGTTATATTTTGTTTTCTGGAAACATGTTCCATTTTCCCATATAAGTATCACCAAACAAACACAGTTTACGTTTGTCGTGCCTAAACGCAGTAACAAACCAGAAATTAGAGAATGTTATTTTTCTAACATATTATTGCACCAAAATGATTGGATGTTCTGGCCTCGTTAGTTGTAATTTGTAAGGTGCAGAGAACTTTCTATACACTGCACTAAAACATACTGAATGTATAAAAAAATTAAAATGTAAGAATTCTCTTATTTGCCGAATTTATATGACGCACAGCGGTACATTTTTTTTTTTGCTAAAGTCTGAAATAAAATGTTTCGTAAAGTGGTTCATCACTTCGTCCATATAACTTGCCAAATTATGAGAAGACTACAACGTCGTATAAAATAAAAAGTTGTACGATATTCAACATGCTAACGCAAACTTAAAATATAAGTTACCACGTCTTACAGTTTATTTAGTGGTTGTGATCTCTGAAGATCATTCTGTGGGTTGGTACTAAGGAATTCTAACGACTAATTTAGTGTACCACTTGGAACGGGTCCTGGACCAAAGAATAAAACTTCAACTGATGAGTAATTCTGTAACGTAGTTGGTTGAAACTCAGATTCCTTTTTAACTCTGCTTTCCGAGAGACATTTTGCATTCAATTGTTCGTATTTGAAGGGGGTCATTTTGAATTGTGTATGGATGTCCCCACAAATATAATAAATATTAAAATTTAATGTAGTGAACACACAACGATTCATAGTTTTACTGAGTTTTAAACAAAACTAAATGTTCAAAATTTGGTCTCAAAGAATTTAAAATTACGGTCCTTACATTAAAAAAAAGATAAGTATAAAATTTGAATAAAATGAATATTATGATTATTTTCTGAATATGAATTACTCTCCTTTCAATATTTTTACATATCCATCTCTGGGAAGGAATAAAACCACTAAATCACTGTTATTCACTTTCCAGATGTTCTTTCTTGATAAGTGACGAGTTAAAAAGAATACGTTGAGAAAAGTTTTCACAAAACAGCGAAACAGCACATTACAGGGACAAACACTAATTAGAACTTAGATAATTTCTGCAGGATTCTTATATACCTTACAAACATTAGCTTGTAATATACGATAAACAAAAACAAATGACGTAAACAAGCTTTTGTTTTTAAAATATAGGCCCTTTGGCATTAAATAGGACACGAAGAAAGCTGGATGGAACTCACGGAGGATTTATTTTATTCCAAAAAATGGGTGCTTGAAATCCGACTACATGGGTGGAT